GTGTGTTCCGTTTGAGAAGTGTGGATGGAAATGGGAGAGGTGGGGGGGCATAAGTTATTGTGAATGGAAGAGTGTATGGGATGTGAGGCTCCATGCAGGATGTGTGAAGAAGAAGGATGTTGCTGCGGGTGGGGGAATGAGGAAAAAAAAATTTTTTTAGCGTTGTGGGGGACCCAGCTTCCCTGATGAATCTGCAAAAAAAGTTCAACACAAGCAGACATGCTCTGATCTCTGTAAATATTGGCAGTACTGCAAAAATCTTGCAAAATGAGCACTTAGATATATCATCATAAAGCATCTGGTGAAAACAGAGGTAAATCTGGAAATTAAAATGATATTCTTGATATTCTCTAAAGGGAAAGAATAGATATCATTGTGATACTTTCTTTTGCTTTAATGTGTGTGTATTTCTGTGTGTGTGCCGCTTCTGAATGTGGAGCTCAGTTCTCTGGGGTGAAAAGACAGATGAGGGTACAGAGTTGGGATGGGGCGACTATATTTCATCACAGACAGTATAGAACCAGGGCTGGATAAATTGTTTAAAATAATCATGATATGGCCATCCTCCTTACATGCAATACCACACACACAGCTCATGACGCTGTCATCAATTCTGAGCCCTCTCTCTGCTCTTTGTTGGTCATATTTCCTTTGTAATCTGCAAAACACTTAGAAATACTGGTATTCCTTGGAGATTACTCTTTCCCATACTGCACCTTGCACTGTGGAATTTTCTCTCAGCAAATCAATGACAGTCGGCCTCTCGACTCGCTTCCGTCTCCCACTGTCCACCTTGCAAGTAGGAATGTCCTAATCCATAGGGATACATAAGCAAGTGCTTATAACCCCAGGAACCACTCTCAGCCATGTGCATGAATAGCTCAAACCCCCATTCATTGAAATATAATGCCTGATGACTGCTATATTGTATACTGTTATGTTAATAATAAAATTCAGTTTCATGTCATGTGACCTTTTAACAGTAAAAATCTGCTGTTGCTGTTCCTTAATCTTTTAAATCAATTATATTTCTTAATGCATGTTTAAAATGCTTTACATTTTTGTCATAGTCCTTGAATATCTTTTCAAGACTTTAAGTATGATACCACTAACATACCAGCCCCACTGTAGTCCATCCCATTAACTGGGGGTCTTTGTTGGGTACATACAGACCACCTGCTGCATGACAAAATCGCCCTATGCCACACTTTCACTTCCCTCTCATCAAGTGGAATAGCAGGAACATCACAGACAGGGACACAAAAACAAACGACAAAAAGGAAACCAGGACAGACGCCAATCTTCCGCCCATCAAATACCAATCAGAGCTTGGCAACCTGCTGGCATCCCTCTGGACGTATGAGATCAGTATCTGGCAACATGCTGCTTGTCCAGTAGCCGGCAGCCTGGTGACTGTCACCCAGTGCCCAGAGAGAGACATCCTCTGAGGGCTGGGACAAAGGTGGCCGGTCCTCAGGGATTACCCATTAGCATGCTACTCTGTGTGTTTAACACTGGCCTGAATGGAAAGGACAAGAGCCAGCACCCTGGTCTATTCTTGAGCAGGGAAGTGTTACTGTTTCAGCTGCTAATCCCGTCCTGACTTATGCATATATACGCATACATACATACATATGAGATGAATTTCTTTGGTTCCATCGGTATGCTCACTGATTTAATGACAGATCGACTTTAAACTTTTCCTCATTCTCCCTAGGTGCTGCCTATTCTTTTCAACCTGCATTGCTCTTTTAGTGGTTATCAGACTGCGACATCCACTGGTTCACAAGAAACAAAAGGTATTGTTTGATATCAGGTGTGCTGAATCTGTAAAAAGTATGCCATAAATCACATAGAAAGCCAGAATGAATGCATGTTTCATCTATCGAAGTCTGCAATTTATCCAAAAGTTCAAAATCAAGCATGACAAAGATGCTGAAACCAGTCAGATGTTGACATTACTGCTGGTTACTCATTCAGCTAAACAAGCGTATGTCTCGATGGTGATTTAGCTCTATTTGTGTGAGGGTGTTTTGCTTTTTCTTGACCAGTGTTTGCCTAATGATGTGTAAAGACGTCTGTATGGAAATGTGTATTTGTCAATCTTTGTCAATTTGTGATTTTCCTCAATGATTGTGTGCATGTGTGTATGTGCGTCCGTGATTGTGTGACTTGCTCCTCTTTTTGCTGCTGCTGTGTGTGTGTGATTATGTGCTCAGACTCGCTGGCTGGTGGCTGATAATAACACAAGAGGCAGTGTGTTTGTGGATCTCTTAGCCGAGGAGATTCCCACCGTGCTCAGCGTGTCTGGGCTCTGTGTGTTTTTGGGGTTGCACGCGTGACTCCGCCAGCTGTTCTATTCTCCAGTTGGCCCCCGCAACCCGGCCTAGCCCCTGTCCCTCGCCGACCCCTCCCTCCCTCAGAGGCCTGCTCTTCATCTGATAAGGGCTGCGCTGGCCAAAGCCTTAGCAGTGTTCCTCAGATCCCCTCAGAGCTGCCCCACGCTAACAATGCACCCTCCTTCCCCTCCACACTCACACCATTTACATGTGAAAACATGGGGGTCTTATCTCCAGTTCACTGGAGCTATGGCACCACAGCCAAGCCAGTGTGCATGTTCATTTTTTGTGTGAGCAAAAGTGGCCTCCATTGAGAGCTGCACTTGCGATGAACACACTCTCATATGTGGCTAAATCTTTTTTATATCCTAGTTGAGCTTTAGATCTCCTCTTTTTCCTGTAAATAAATATTATCTTTAACCGCACGAGCACATTGAATATAAAAAAATCTCAAGAGCCTAATTCAGCACTAGTTGAAAGAATTAAGGACTTATTGTCAGTGGGAAATCAGACAGCTTTATCTCACCTGCACTGATCCAATAGCTAACGGCTACACTAATGCTGAATGAAAGACCCCCAAGAGAGGAAAACTCGTCTCTCTGAGGTGTCTACTGGAATATTGCCATGGTGTCCCTTAACAGTGATCCTCATCTACATACACATTAATGTAACCGCTCTCCTCACTACCATGGCAGCCTGTTTCCACTACACCTCCTCTTCCTTATTGTCATCTTTTGCATCATCTTTGCATCTCTTGTGGGACAAAACTTCGTAAGTGCATCCTCTGGTCCAGCAACACATTTTCCAATCTACAGGAGCCTTACAAATTTCAATCTGCAAGTTCACCAGCTGCCAGGCAGAAACAGACAGGACAGGCAGCAAAAAGAGAAGTGTGCAGGCTTTTAATTAAACTCTGTGTAGTTAAGGGCTCGGGCTAAGCAAACATGGGCCTCCAGCTTCAGAGTTTAAGATGAGGGAAAGGACCTAATGTTAGACGAGGGGAGGAGGGGTGAGAGGGAGAGTGAATATGAGAGATGTGTGAGTGTGGGAAGATAAAAGATGAGCAGAGCAGAATAAAGGACTATTAGGGAAAGAGGGGCAGGTAGAGGGGCCCGGCCTGTGCTGTCAGAGATGCTATCACATGTTATCTGATGTATCATAATGTCATGCGGATATTAGGGTGGGAGGGGCAAGAAGAGATGTAGGGTTTTGTGAGGCATGACAATGAAAATAGAGGACGATTTGTAAGAAGATATTCATTTATGTATTCCTCTGTGTCAGTACAGATGTAGATAGTTGTCATGAATCTAAGATATATGCAGATTTTAGCCTGAAGGCTAAACTATTTAGCATTTCAGTATTACCAGCTACTGTCAGAAAATCTAAAGACAATGCAAGTTTCTTTATAAAGTAATTCAAAGTGCTTTACAGAGTCAAAAACAGAACATTGACAACATTAGGAGCATTACAAAAGATATGACATTACTCCAAAATGACACATTAAAATACAAAATATATTTTAAAAAAACAAAAGAAAGAGAGAAAGAGGACATCAGGAAAAGTATAAGCATAAATAGTGTTTGAATTTGAATAAATAAATTAGTTTAAAAAAAAGAGGGGAAAAAAAGATACAATTTATGATACTCAAATTTAAAACACATGAAGTTGATATATTCAGTGCACCAGTGTAGCAAGACAGAAATGAAGAGCTCAACTTTTGCACATACATGATGCTGTGGCTTTGAGTTTTTTCCTTTGTGGTGACATACTGACATCTGTTGGTGGAAAAACGAACTGCAGGCGTCTGAGCGTGGAAGAAAGATATTGACCAATAGAGCTCTCAAAAGCATTCAACTTTGTCAGAATTAAATCTATTTCATAAACCTTCTCTCCACACAATTATACTATTTCCACTTCCCCATGCTACTGGACATTTTATCCCCTACAACAACAACAACAACAACAACAATAACAGCATTGTCTAGTTCGTGCCTCATCTTACATATTTTCAGTTCACTGTTTGAGCCTAAGATTAAATGTATCCCATTTACAGAAAACAAGTTGACATAGGAGCAGTTTAAGCAATAAGTTCAATTTAAAGACGTTTAGATTGTTTTCCACCAACCTATGAATTATCCCATGCAGGCTTATGATCATTTGAAGACCTGCAAGTCGGGAACCCCTGAACTAAACGACCTGTATATAAATTAAAACTTGATCTGCTACCACACCAAAATGCTGCTTGTTGTATGTGCATTAAAAATCTAGAATTTAATATATAAAAGAATGAACACACTGGCCAAACTTACTGAAGTACCTTTGTCCAAAGTAAGGGTACATCTAGCAGATGACACTTTTTCTTACGTCAGTTACTTTTTGGATGCAGGACTAAGACTTAAAACGTTGTATCCTTGGTGGTTCTGCTCTCACAAAGCAACTGAATACTTCTTTGTTTCATTCCGTCCCTCCACAGCGCTGACTCAGAAGGCATTACTGCTTCTTTATCTTTATTACATGGATCTGGATCTATGATTTGTGTATCTGGGGCAGAGGATGGCAGCACCGGAGGGGACTTTGCAATAACCATATCATAAGGTATATTAGTTTGAAATGCAATATTAGATCTCCAGGAAGACTCACACACACACAAGATCCCAGCAAGAATTTTATATTACTTTTAATATACAGAATACAAGGGATAAAAAGATCAAGATGGGCAGAGTCACAGACACGTGAATAACAAAGCTCATCTGATCAGAAAAAATGGAATTCAATCCTAAACATTGAATGAAACTAAACAAAGATAACACAGAAGAGACACTGGTATAAATTTCATCCTGAGAAATGTTTTCCAGTTTTACAGCAAATAACATTGATTATGTTTTACTAAATAAACCTTTGCACATTTGAATATAATAAAGGTAGAAACAGCTGGGACAGAAAATCATTCCTTTGGAGGGTGATATCCTTTCGTTAAGGTTAATGATGGTTATCTTTGGTTTGATTGTTTTTCTTGTGCCGGCTCTGGAGAAATGTTGAGTACGAATACATTTACACATATTATTACACATTACACATTAAACTCTACTTTTAAATAGATTTCTTTACCCCCCCTATCTCCTATGTACAGTGTCGAACAAAGCACTTTGAAATGAACAGAAAGACATTACAGGTAGTACATGTATAAACACAGATCCTTCAGATATGGATTTCATGAGTCATTGTCCAATACTACGGAGGAGGATTTTCCATAATGACACAAAACTGGAGGTATACACATGACAAATTGTGACACAAAAAATTAACTATCTGATCCAAGAACAGATTGAACTGAAATGTATGATGTCATAGGAGTAATATCAGTACAGGCAGCTGTTTTAGGCATTTTAAATCAGTTGGTTTGGTATTCAAAAAAATCTTATACAAAGGCACTACTGACCAAACTGGTAGAAAATAAGGCAAACATTATTTTCAAACAGAAATATCATAAAAAGTGTTTTTTTAAATCAACAGAGGTGGTTCTTTTGTTCAGAGGAATGATTATTGATGTTCACCATGGATACATAAATACTTGTAGAAATTCTGCCTAACATTGTTTTGAAAAATCTCAGTGGTCCTCTTCACATCTTTCTATCTGAAATTCAAACATAATGACAACAAGAAATACTGTGAAAAATACTGTAATGAAAGCAAAAGACTCGTCCTGCTCGTTTAGAAAAACCCTACAAATGCGGTTACCTCTGGGTTTAGTTTGAAGTACGACAAAAAAATGTGTCTGACTGCTTTGTGTGTATCACAGCTGCATGTTCCTGCTCTTATTCTTACACAGCAATACTGAATTGTGTTAAAGTGTATCACATTCATAACAAAATGTAATCGTTAAATAATATAAGTACACTTAGTCATGAAATGTAGAAGTACCTCTGAACAGTATAGAATGTATCTAGCAATAATGAGATTGTACAAACCCCACTTTGGAAAAACTGTTGTAAGAAAGAAGGAGGAAGTGAGGAGTGGTAATGATAATACAACTCCACAAAAAGCAATGATCATGTCAGATGCAAAGAACATATTAAAAAAATGGCAGTTTTCTGGAGATTGTGGTCAAATATATGTATCATATTGTACATATTGTCTTCAAGGGCAGCCCATTTAACTGTTTTTGTATCTGATTAAGGAGTAGTGCAGCTATGACGCCACCAGAGGGAGCCTGCAAATAAGCTTAGTCCTGCAGGACGAGCTCTTCCAAGCACAGTGTTCTGAGAGACGATGTGCAGGCAGCGAGTTATGGGCTCTCTTTAGCCTGCAGTCACTTAGTCCCTGTCGATTCTCCACAGCAGGTCATTGTTCTGGACTGTTCTGGCTTCATGTGGCTCTGCAGCCTGGTCCTGCACACCTACACTCTTTGAGTCTTACAAGACAGCGGCTACAGCTGGTCCGACTCCTCCCTAGGGCTCGCGCTCTGCTGCGCGCCCGAGGCCACAGTTCTGGTAGTTGAGGGTGCAGAGGGATGTGCTGCGGGGTGGCTCAAAGGTTCTGGTGGGTCCTCGTACTGTGGCAGCTCACCCTCTGATGGAAGCTCCCCATCTGGGAGGTACGGGGGAGGAGGGAGATCAAACCAGGGAGGCCGACTAGAAGAGAAAACAGAGGAAACAGACAAGAGGAAGAGCATGATGTCAGGGCTGTGAGCTATTACACAAGGACTTTATGATTAATGCATTGTGACTGGAACCAGCAGCTAGCAAAGATGTTGGAGCAACTGGAAAAAAAATGACTCAACATGATCATAAATTTGTAATTCTGAAACTTTTCCTAGTGACTGAAGTGTTATTTATATTCAGGATATAATTCTTTACTTAGTATTATTGAGTGTTTCAGCAAATGTTTTATATTTTTCTTAATTCAAAATGATTAGTGATCAGCTTATGAATAAGTAACATTCAGCTTTTATTTAATAATAAATGAGCTCCAAGTTGACGACAAAATTAACTGACTGCAGATTACATATCTTAAGAAAGCACCGCTGACACAACTTCTCACTGATTGGTGTGATATTTAACATTTTTGATCACAGAGGTGTCTGTGTGACAACAATGAATGAAATTACAGTCCTTTATATTGTGTTAAATATATTATAGAGACAACTTCCACTGATCTAGTTGTTTTGGTTTATCCCTTTATGGGTGCAGATAAACGATTTTAAACCCTTGTGCAACTTTGAGAGCCATCATTTCTCTGACCTGACGTCCAGAACAGCTTGAGAGTATGATGGAGGTGAGTCCATGGAGGGGAGTCCAGAAGGGTAGAGAGTCCCGGACAGCAGCTGCAGCGCCTGAGACGTTGAGCTGTACTGCCCCGCTGTGCTGGGAGAGTCATGGGAGAGACGTGGACTTCCTGCATGGACGTGGCCCCGGTCCAAGATGACCAGCCGGGACAGCAACAGCGGCTGATGGTGGTGATGGTGATGCGAGCTCCCTCTCACGCCTCTGGGCAGCAGGACGCTTCGCTTCCTCTGGTGATGGAGCACCAGCGCGAGCAACGCCACCACCAGGACGAAGATGACAGCGCTGCCGATGACCGCGTAGGTGATGCTGGTAGTAGCGTAGGCGGTAGTCCAGTGTCACGAAATCCTGCCCTGGAGCTTCTGCAAGGAAGAGGAAAGAGATAACGGGCAAATTTATAAATGGGCAAATATGAGGTTGGAGAAATATAGAATGGTAACGGATAAAGGAGGGGCGAAGATGAGGAGGAAGAAGAAAAACGTTTAATGAAATTGGAGGTTGTAGAAAAAGGGAGGAAGGGTTGTGGAACCAAGGGAACAGAGACATGAATATGAAAGAATAAATTGTATTTCAGGTTCATTCTGAATTGTGTTCTGTGTGATTCAATATCGGCAGGAGAGGAGAGTGCTTCATAAAACGCAGAACAGCAGTCACTCTCCAAAGAGCATCCAGGGACAAGAACAACAGAGCATTCTGCACTGAGTTCAAAAGTAGCAACCTCACTCTTTATTATAAACACAAGCGAAGGAAAAGGGAGGCTAAATAATCCTAGAAGAGGGCATAAAGGCTTTCAGCAATTTTCAGATAAGGCTCCACTTGGGTTGCTGAGCATTGAAGATGGGGTAAGGCAGAGGAACACCAGGGGCCGTCACAGATTACCATGTTTGTCACAGGGGGAAAGGGGATGTCTGCAAACTACTTAGAGAGCCGTGGCCAACAGTAAAAAAGAAAAAAAAAAAGGGAGCCACCTCGCTGCCTGAAATGAGGAAAGGGACTACTGTAATTCCAAAGAGTGGTGCAGCGTATTATTCCAGATGGGATAAGGGAATAGCACTTAAACATTTCCACTGACTGATAATAAAGAGTGAGAATTTCAATCAGGCACTCGGGTTGAGGCTCATGTAAAAGGTGTTTCTGCTGCTTACCGCGACCCCAGTACTCTTGTACCAGGGAGAGAGATGGAGGGAGAGTGGAAGGAATCGTATTTATTACACAGCTAGATGCAGCAGGGCTGTGCTAATGAGAAATGTGCAACATAAAAGTGTTTTACAGCTGCTATTTGAGTTTAAATTACACAAACGCCTCAGGGGGCTGTAAACATCAAACCTCTGTTTGCCTCGTAAAAAGTTCAAAACACTCATTGGATTGCTTTCTATGTTCTTTGGTCAACATTTCTGTGTCGCGTGTTTAAAAAACAGTGCATTAACTCCTATATACACCTTAAAGGACTCCCATCTCTGTCCAAACCATCATGAAGACAGACGAGGATATTGTCCAGAAAGCTCGCCAGAAATTGCCCATTACAAAACATCTCGAGGTTGAATCGATAGTTTGAAAATGCTTCCATCTGTAAGGATTAGATCCCCAGAAAGTGCAAAGCAGGCAGGCCCCTTTGGAGCTTTTTGAAGTATTCCAGACTTACATAGACTTACAGGCTCTTTGGGGATATTGCGTTTAGCACGGAGTAGATATTCCCCCCCACATGAACAAGCTGAAGCAACAGCGCCCCAGAGAATTCAAGGAAATGTGCACAGCTTCAAAAAGAGTCAACTGAAGTGACCCTGTGATATTGAGTTACATGTCTGATCCACAGAGTACAATATCTATGAAAGAAAACTACACTTTCTGATCCCCTAAAGATTCATATACTGTTTATATGTACTGGAAATCAAATCATGTTTTGATAGGGGTCATAATGTGTACTTAAAGGAATAGTTCCACATTTTGTACATTGCTCTTGTATGCTTTCTTGTCGAGAGTTAGGTAAGATCACTGGTACTCATTCTGGTACTCAGCGGTGAATTTCTGTTGTTTCAATTTATTAACGACCTTTCGACGACAACTGCACCCCAGGAAGATATTGTAATAGTTGTAAAAATAGTTTGGCACATGACGACCATGAAACAGAACTTTTTTATTCTTTTGTTTGATGTACAGATTACAGAATCACTGATTATTACTTCATTAATGAGCTCTCGGATTAAGGCTGGTAGTTTCCCCTCACTCATCGCTAAGCTAACCACTTGCTAAATTTTCTTTCAACTCATGGATATGGTAGAAGTCTTATCGTTTGTACTTCTTAAGACTTCTTAAGTTATTCTATCCAAAGACCACCAAGCATCCCTTAAGAAAAGAGTGTTGGGGCTAGAGGGACCTTCAAAGCTGGATGCCAGGGTATCAGTGTGTAAAACAAGTTATGGTTAGAGAAGGAGCTTTTTTTCTGAACTTGTTTTCTTTTTCCCCAGATACAATGCTGTATGTTTCCTGTTAACCTGACCTTGAAGGCCTGTGGGAGTCTACAGCAGAATGTGTGTGTGTGTGTGTGTGTGTGTGTGTGTGTGTGTGTGTGTGTGTGTGTGTGTGTGTGTGTGTGTGTGTGTGTGTGTGTGTGTGTGTGAGAGAGCAGTGAGCACACCTACTGTTGAATTCCCTAACAACAACCAGCCTGGCATACAGCCTATTTATGTACCAGTGTGTAGTCGGGGGCCCCATAGCTTAATTAAATCTAATCTAATTCAGATGCTCCACCCGCCGCTGCCCCAACCAGACACCAGCCAATAAAACAAGCCCCCTCGACCCCTCCCTTGTGATTTAAAATTGGCCAGTCCTTCACGCTACCAATTAATTATGAACTGGACTCTCAGCAGAGAAAGACCAAAACAAAGATGAATTATTTCCATAATTACCAAGTAAAAAAAAGCTCAAATAAAGAGATCCCACCGCTGCCACCCTATGTGGCCTATCAGGTTTCAGTGTAGTCCTCTGGGAGCAGAAAAAGCACACACAAAAGGAACTCATAATGCTGCGACATTGACAATGGGAGCCTATTCGCTACATTAGAGATAGAGGCCTGAATGGGTGTTTCAAATCACACAGGAGATGAAAAGACAGGGGGAGAAAGAAAACAAAAAACAGAAAGAAACTGAGGCAAGCTCTTTTTCTGTCAAAGGAGAGAGGTCCTGTGTGTGACTGCATCCCCACTGTGTGTGTGATTGAGCTTCGTGTTCGTGTTTCAGCCCATTGTGAGCTCTTATTTGTAGATAAGTGAAAAAAGGTGTGATCCACACATGAAAACATAGGTGAGGGGGTCTCACAGTAACAATGGTAATTCTGACTCAAAAGGAGAGTCCTTATCAGACAGCAGCACTTCACAGACGAATACACATTTAATGTCGGTTTAAAACATGATGCTGGATGTTACTGCTGGTTTCTGTCTTACTTTTGGTCTCCATTTGTAAATTGACTTTCAAAGGATGGATTCAAACATCAAAGTCCTCAGTCTAAAGTCAGGATGTTGTGTTTAAGGTACAGGAAAGAGGAAGAAAGGCTACACAATCAAAAGTCTAAAGCAGACAGTCATGAGTCCTGTGCATCAGCATCATCTGAACATATTGCCCCTTAAAGATAAAACACAGTATGGAAATCACCTCAGAAAAATTTGAATAAAATGATCATCATTCTTTTGTTCTGGATTCCAAACTTACACAGTCACCCAAATCTTTTCTGACAGGTGTGCTCAATACAATACAGTGCTGCGTCTTGCTAGCATTTCTGAAAAAAGTGACTTTGTACTAAATTCATTGGTTGAAACTGTCAAGATCAAAGCTGAACATCAAAGAGGCTTTCCTGTCGAGTCAAGCCTGACATGAAAGTCATTTCCTGCCGTCGACCAAAAGCAAAGCCGCTCAGACACTACTGACCTCTGAAGTAATGTCCAAAGAGGACGTTACAAAAACAGAATTGCGGTGCTATTGAAATTGATACTGTAAATTCCTGCAGCTTGTCTGACAGCCAGTCAGGAAACATGTGAAAGTAGTTCAGTGAACGCCCAACCAGGAGTACTTGTACCTCTAGAAGGTAGATTTTTAAGAGAAACAGGTTAGAAAGCAAATAAAAATAAGAATGACATAATGGTAATAGATATGTGGTTGGAATGAATAGCAAAGATTAAAAAAGGATTTCCAATAAAATGTCAGTGCTGTGCGGTCCAAACAGTTGGCTGATAGTTATTATCCATTCTTTACTTAAGCTAACGGGTTAACAAGCAACAACTTTGGTTAAATGTTATAAATGTTGATGGATACACTGATGAAATATTCAACTAAAAGTGAAACAGGTGGTAGTACAAATGTAGACTTGAGCAAACTGGGCCGCCTCTTGGTTTTTTAAGGGAAAGTTTGAATCTTTTGAAGTGAGGATGTAAGAGGTACTCGTCAACAGTAAGTGTATTGAGGGTCAGCTCGGCCCCTTTATTGAGAGACCGGTCAGCGTGCCTGCACGAAAGCTAGGTTATATCGCTGCCCTTAATTTAGCCACATTTTAGCAAACCCAACCTAAAAAAGATAATAAAAGTGTTCGCTATTTAGAAACTGTCACCACTTTACTTTTCCATCAGCCACTTAGTTTGAGCACTAAAACCATTAGGGTGCTGGATAGCCAAGAGGTTATGTTGTGCCCCATGTACGGAGGCTATTGCCCTATTAGCAGGTGGTACTGGGTTTGAAACCGTCCTGCGGCTCCTTTCCAGCATGTCATTCCTCACCTCTCTCATCCCTGTTTCCGACTCTATCCACTCAAAGAAGTCATAAAATCCCCAAATAAACTTTAAAAAAGAATCTAAACTATCCCTTTAAAAAGTGAAACGAATACTGTACCGGCATTCTTCCTAATGGCCAACAGGGGGCAACGTAAAATAAAGAAAGAAAAAAACTCAATATAATAAGATATGAAAATGATCCCACTTCTCAATTGATTTCTTTTTTTACTGGCAGACTGTCTCTAGGTAAAGAGGTATCAATCATCTGAATACTGTCACTTCTGTCTTCAAAGACCTAAAGATGGAAGAGGATAAAGAGGGCGATGTCACATCTACATCTTACTGCCCATAAAATCTATGATGTGGTAACAATATTTACATTTAGCAATTCAGGGCATGGTGTGTCTTCTCGAACACAAAGTGACTTTCTGAAATGGAATGCAGCTTGAATAGCAAAGAAATGCACGGTAACCATGGAGATAACAGTGCCTGATATTAAGCTTAATTTGAGGACGCGGGTTCAGGGAGTAAATCCTCAGTTGGTGTGGGATTTTAACTCTTGACAGAGAGAAACATACATTGAACATGTGGCCCAGGGAAAAGTAT